GGGGGCCGCGGCGGGGGGGGCGGGAGCCGATCAGGTTTGTGTCCGCGAACCCGTTGGTGGCTTCCACTAGCTGCTGGTAGGATAGACGCGGGTAGTCGCTGCTGTGTATGCCAATAAAAATATATATGCATTTATTTTATATAAAAATTGGCAATATTTATGCAGTGTTCGTAATTTTCAAAGAATAAAAAAAAATTAAAAGTAAATAAAAATTATAAAAATAAAAATTTATTCAATATAAATATTATCAATTTTATTTATCATGTATTGTTTTTCAACATAATTAATTTATTAGATGATATAATCAAATTTAAAAAGTAATTTTAATCTATTTCTTAGATACTTTTATTAAGTGTATTTCATATCTCTATATGTGAACTTAAATCATTAATTTCATATAAAAATATCACTAATATTAATTTTTAAAAATAAAATAGATTTATTTTTTTATAAATCTTGATGTAATTATTTCATTAAAATATTATATTAATAAAGATCAAATTTTAAATTTATACTATATAAATACATAAAATTATAAATTTTCAATTAAAATATTAGATAAATTTTGAGGGAAGTTTTTAAAACTAAATAAAAATATGCAAAAAAAAATTACATATATGGAAGTTGTCATCATAATATTTCATGCAATAAAATTAATTTTATTATAATGTCAGAATAATATTCTGTATTAAAATTTCATTATTTAAGGAAAATATTACACTCGAATACTATATAAAATTAAAAAAAAAATTAATATCAAAATATAATCTCATTAAAATTAAAAAAAAAATTTTCTCTTCATTGGCTTATGAAAAAAAAAAATAAATAAATAATGGTAAGTTGCTTACTGATAATTAGAGACGAAGTCTTCCATACTGTCCATATCTTCAAACACCGAACGGGAAAAACTAGGCAGCCGAACCTTTGGGCTACTTGATCTCCTCCTCATCATCATTTGACATGCAATGAAGAACATAATCACAAGCACAATTACAGCCCCCGAAACAGATAGCGATATCCGAATTAGCCTTCCCAGCCGATGATCTGGCTCTGTTCTGCATTCTGTTATTCCATCAATGTTGTAACCACAGAGCCACGGGTTGCCGAAGAAAGAGCTTCCACCAAGCGATTTGAACACTCCATCACCAGGAATAACGCCAGAGAAGTTGTTGAAGGAAACGTTGAGGTATCGAAGAGTAGAAGAAGCTTCCAAAGACTCTGGCATGGCGCCCGCGAGCTTATTTGATGACAAGTCCAGCACTTTCAGGTAAGGCAAAGCTCCTATAGAGCTCGGAAGATGGCCGACAAAGCTGTTTTTGGATAGATTGAGGTATTCCAACGCCACGCAGCTTCCAATCTGTGAAGGTATCATGCCTGATAAATTGTTGCAGGACAGATCCAAAGCTAGAATCATGTCCATCTTGCTCATCTCCAATGGCAAATGGCCGTGCAAATTGTTGTTCGATAGGTTTAGATATAGCTTCAAGCTCTGTAAACCAGCAATTTCGGGAGGAATTTCACCGGTTAGTTGGTTGTAAGACAGATCGAGTATCTCTAGATTAATGCAGTTGCCGAGGCTTGGTGGAATTTGGCCGGAGAGCCGATTGCCGTTGAGAAGCAGTCGCCGGAATTGAGGGAGATGGGCAAATGAATCTGGTATGGATCCGGAGAGTTCATTGTCCGATACATCTAAGAGGCCAAGCTGAAGAATTTTGCCGAATGATGGCGGGATTTTGCCTGTAAGTCTGTTGTTTGAAAGGTAGAATCTTTCAAGCCTACAGAGGCGGCTGATTTCCGGCGGGATTGATCCGTTGAATACATTGTTGGATAGGTTTAAGTATGTGAGGTTAACGAGATTTGATATGTTGGGATGGATTGGGCCGGTGATTTGATTCTGCTCGAGGTGGAGCTGTAAGAGATTGACGGACAGGTCACCGATTGAGGGTGGAAGTTCACCGCGGAGGCCGTTTCCGGCGAGCTCCAGCTCTTGTAAACCAGAGCAGTTGCTCAAAGAAGTGAAGAAGGGGTTGAGATCATCAGTTGAAAGGTTGTTGAATGAGAGGGAAAGAAACTGCAGATAAGGCATATTGTTAAAGATGTACAGCGGCAAGCCGCCGCTGAGATTATTGGACTCGAAGTCGATCCATTCCAGTTGAGAAGAGTTGGAAAGCGCTGGTGGGATCGAACCAGAAAGCTGGTTGGACCATAGAAGGAGGTAACGGAGGTCGTCGAGCAGACAAAGGTCGTTGCTTGGAAGCGGAATCTCACCGGTGAGTGAGTTGTTGGAAAGATCAATGTATTGTAAGGAGAGTTGGTTTATAGTTGATCTGGAGTAGTTGCAAAAGAGAGTTGATGGTATTTGCCCTGTTAACTGGTTGCCACCGAGGTCAAGATAAACAAGCAAGTTTAGGAAACCGAGCTGGAATGGTATGGTGCCGGAGAAGAGGTTGGAGGAGAGGCTGAGCTGTTTGAGGCCGGAGAGGGAGCCGAGTTCGGCGGGAATCGGACCGGTGAGAAAATTATTGGAGAGATCGAGGACTTCAAGGGAGGAGAGATTGGAGAGGAAAGGAGAGAGTTTGCCATGGATGTTTCGACCGCTAAGATCGAGCTTAGCAACACGTTGCCAAGGCGGCAAGTGGTGGCAGGAGACGCCGGTCCAGTTGCAGAGATTAGGAGATGTGTTCCAATCAGTGAGGGAGAGGACGCTGTGGGGAGCGAGGCCAGCGAGGAAAGAGAGAAGGGAGGAGCGCTCATCGCCGGCTGAGTGATGGATGGTTGTTAGGAGAAGGATGGTGATGAGATGAGCGGCCATGGTGGTAAGGGAGGAAGGTGTAGGAGGAGGAATAGATTGATTTAAGAGGGGAGCAGGGGAGTGAAGGGCTGCCTAACTGGTGTTGACATGAGCCGTTATATTTGGCGGGAGGATTTTGATTTGCGGCTCTGGTTTTTTAGATGAAAAACGTTGGTGGGTGGAGTCCACGTTGGGCCTTTTTTTTTTTTTTTTGTGGTGTAGTTTAATGGGGGAAAGATTGCGGCTGATGGAATGGGGAAAGCATGCGTACTTGGCACTAATATTTATTTTATTGGGATAATTTATGATTTAATTGAACTTATTATATTTTATAATCTAGTTGTCTTTAAAAAAAGCTTTTTATAAATTTTAGTGTTCATTATTTATTTAGGAATATATATATATATATCAAGTCGA